TATGCGATAAATCCCAGCAAGTTGTCATTATAAGTATAATGACAAAACAGAAAATGAAATAAGTATTCTTTTATTTTGTCATTTTTTATTACTATGATTGTCATCATTAGATTTTAATTTGGTTTATCTACTTGCAAAGGTTTTACAAATTTATAAATATAGTGGATTTTCATCATTTAACAGTAAAGAAAATTTTGGATTTTATTCTTTTTGGAAATGGAACAAAACAACTCATCTCCTTATCCTGCTACTTCTATTTCTATATCTCACTCCCAAACTGATACTAATAACACGCTACCAAATATCACTAGCCCACACCAACCTCCCTATACTAATAATGATGGTGATTCTTCAGATTCAGCAAAAACTATTGCTAGTGTTCATAGTACCTTTTTAAGAATGTCTGATAGACATCAAACATCCCAATGTCAATTGCACCAAAATGCAAGCCATCATTCATAATCTCGCCAACCACAATCCCATCAACCTTCACCAAATAATAATAGAGGCCACCAACCTTTCTGCTCTTACTATACTTCACCAAATAACCATAGGGATCGTTCATTATCACTACAATGTAACAAACCTGATCCTGAATCATAAGATAGATCACTGAACAGAAGATCATTCAATCAAAATCAACAATGTAATCAAGATAGTAATTAGTATATAAAGTCCTTTTTTTTTTTTTGAATTGCCATTACACCTTTTTTTTTTTTTAAATTTTATTTTATTTTTTTTTTTATATTAAAAAAAAAAAACTTTTGTTGTTAAAAGAATGTCACCATAACCACCAAAGTTACTGTCTTGATGAAGAACACCTCTTTGCACAAAATTAGCAGTTATACCTTTTAATTAGGGAGTTGCGTGACAATGTACATGAAGTTAAAGCTAAACTAAGATGGCAACAAAGTGAACAAAGTAATGAACTTTCAAGTCAAGTGCTAGACATAAGTATATTATTTAGTAAAAGCTTTGAAATATGCATGGTTAAGCATTGTTTTTTATGAATATATTGTGAAATAGGATGTGTTTACCAATGTTGTAAAGTGCTTGTTCCCTCAAGATGTGTACCCCTCCCAAAGCACTCTCAAGGAATCTCTCAGGGATTATCTAGAGGAAATGTATCCTGACTTTATATCAAATATAAGCAAAATGAATTTACTAACTGGTTCCATGCCGAATAGTCTAGTCCCATATATTATAACTTTTTATCAATTAAAATCGCTCTTAATTTCTTATAATCTTTTAGGTTACTTATTTTATTTATATTACTAATTAATACATTATAATTATATGTAATAGTTGTTACAAAAAATGAAAAATATTTAAGGTGCTGCATTGCAAAACATTAGTTCTGCCATTTGGCCTGTATTTGGATATGAGAGACTCCCTCTGTTAAAGAGTAATGCTGTGGCATCTGACATAGTAAGGTGGAAACAAAGTGAAGAAGTCACTAGTTGTTATTGCTCTCTTTTTGAGTAAAATGAAAGTGGTGTTTTTTGAGTAGCTGTATTAGCAAGGTCAGTTTCTCTACAACTGCAGTACTCACCTTATCTGATGAACATTGCGCTTTCACATTTGCCATATGTAATATCTTATTAAACCCCAAGTTAAAAGGCATAATATGTAAGAAGAGTAAAATAAAACGACGCATGAAGCGCTTTTTAGTAAGTTTTATCATATATACTCATATAAAATTGTATCAAAAAACATTATTAATAAGTTTTTATTGTAGAATGACTTCACTAGTGGTGGCCCATTCTATAAATCTGCCAAATTATTAACTAATAATGAACTTACGAATAATAAGGGCCAAAAGTTCTGTGCAACTACACCAAATGGCAGTGAATCAGAAATGGAACCATCATTCCAACAAAGCAACATGATGCAAATGTCCCAAGACGATATGAATCAATTGCTTGGGATCAAATCTTAGTGTTTTTTTTGTTTTGTCTTTTCTTTTTTCTTTTTGTAATTTGTAATTGCTATTTGTATTGCATGTATTGCTTTTTTTTTACATTTTAATTGTATTAAATATAATTGTAAATAAAATTATAAACAAAATTAGTTTAATAAATTTGATAGTTTGGATTCTAAAATAAATTCAACATATAGTATATAATATATACAATAGTGCATTTATTTAATTGATATAATATTATTTTAATTTGACATTAACTGCTTATATCAGCTATATATCAATTAATATCAAAAATGATATAAATCAATGTGTATATTAATTGGCTATATAGCAATTATAATCGAAATCGATGAAACTCAGCAGGAGTGATTACTATCGCTATATATCTAGTTGGTTAGTAATCGATATATATCTATATATATAACTTTCCCAATGTACACAATTCCAGTAGACTCACCATTTTATTATGTTGAGATTGACATCATAGAACCCCTACCTATCACCTCTAGAAACAAGAGATATATAGTCATTGCCACTGACTATATATCAAAATGGCCTAAGGCAAAAGCAATTGAGAAGAAAAATGCTATTGCAGTTGTCAAATTTGTTTATAAAGAAATTATATGTAGGCACAGTTGCCCTATGTAGCTGTCATCTGATCAAGGCACACATTTTAGAAATAAATTAATTGAAGCATTATTAAAGAAGTTTCAAATTAAACATCAACTGTTGACTCTCTACTATTTACAAAATAACAGTCTTGTTGAATAGTAAAATAAAACATATATGAGTCAATAGCAAAGATAATTCAAAACATTACTGATTGGGATCAGTTTATCCAGCCAATACTTTTTGTATATCATATAACAAAACAAAGTTTCACAAAAATGATGTTATTTTATTTAGTTTGCAGAAGAGAGGCTTGATTGCCTCTACACCTTGATAATACTCCTAATATTTTAAATAGAACAATCATTCAATAAACTTTTAATTTACTAAACCAAGTACCAGTTCAGTAAAACAAAGCAGTGAAACAAGTGCAATCTGCATAACTGAAACAGAAGGCATACTATGATCGACACATTAAGGTTACACCAGAGTTCCATAGTAGTGCCAAAGTATTGTTATTTGACACTACCCATCTAATGTCTAGAAGCCATAAGCTAAACCAAAAATAAAAAAGCTCATTTTTTGTGTATAAGGTTTTAGCTAATGGTTTTATTAAAATAAGAACTTAAGATAGACAAGTTGTAAAATATTCTATCAATAAAGTACAACTAAAGGAGTATCACAAAGCTTAAAACCATCTGAAGTAGCAATCAAAGAAGATGTAAGTGTTTAAGAAGAAGAAGAAAGAAATCAAAGACTTACAAAAAAAGCTCAAAACCAAATAAAATAAATTTTTAATTAAAAAAAAGAAGAAAATTAGTATTGGCAGAAACAACAAAATGACAAAAGAAAGAAAGCACAAGATACTTCCTAACCCATGGCTAACTATCCAAAAAAAAAATTTTGTAAAGATATTAGATAATTGAACATAAAAAGCAAAAAAAGAAACCATCAAGTAGCAAACAACAAAAGCAAGCAACAAATGAATTAATTAATCAAAAAAAAACTTCCCAACCTAAAACAAATAGACTCTCTTAATAAAATAATTAGCAACCTACTGTCAACCACTCTGCAAGATGTTGTTGTTATGCCCTTATCATATTACTCTGCTGAAGACTTAGATGACAAAGTAATAAAGACATATCAGCAAATGCTTAAAAATGTTAAACTCAAAAATCACACTGAAAGTTTAATTTACACTTTTTATCTAGGTGAAATGTTGACTAAAATGAATCCCAAGCAGCAGACTTTTTACCAAAAGGTGATCACAAAACACTACTTTACAGTTGCAACAAGAGCATTTTGGCTGTTCAAAGTCTATAGACCTACCCAAATCTATTGTACAAAGAGTATAAACATAACTGTAATAGCAAAAATAAAGGCCAAAGATTCCTAAAGCCTGGTATAAATTTGTGCAACAAATGTATTAAAGTGGAAAAAATTGTTATAAGCTAGAGTAAGATCATCAATAATTTATTTAAAGAATCAATTGCATAATTAAAGTAATATATATATTAGATAGTAAATGTAGCATAATTAGCATAATTAATATATGTAGTATAATTAGAAGATTTAGTATAATTAATAGTTTTAGTATAATAAGCAGATATAGTATAATTAGTTGATTTAATGTATATAGTATAGTAGAAGTAATTAGTATATAGGGCATATAGTAAATATAGCATATAGAGAAAAGTATATAAGCAATATGTTTTAAATATAAAAAGACAAGTCTCATAGTATAGTAAATAAAGATATACTTATTATTAGTACTTACCCAAATCTGATGCCTCTTTTGAGTACTAGTACGACTATTGTTACATAAAAGACTTTCATTTACCCTATGAATAGGGAGTTTTAAAGTCTATAATTTTTGGAATATAACAATAATTATTATTTATTTCTTGGTGATCTTTTAACATATTTGTTAATTATTAACTTTTAAATTATTTTTCTTTTCTCTTTATTATTTAGAGATAAGTAGACTATTATAATTATAATTTCTATTTGCTTAAAGAAAAAATTAGCAGAAATTATATATTTATTTAATTTTTCTATATGGCCTAAATGTTTTTTCTATTTTTGATTAATTAACAATCCTATTTCTAAACCTTTCTTTTTATTTGAATTTGCAATTAACCAAATGCTTTTGTAATCTTTTAAATTCTCTTCTTAAAAGAAACCTTCTTTGACTAAAATTTTGTTTCTGCTAAGTCTACTATATTAAGTTCATTGTCAATTATTTAGTTATATAGTGCTTCTAATTTTTGGCTATTTGATTTAAGCCTATTAATATTATATGTTGTTAATTTCAATTTGATTCTTTTATTTTTATATATATATATATATATATTTTTTTTTTTTTTTTTTTTTTTTTTTTTTTTTTTTTTTTTTTTTTTTTTTTTTTTAT